ATTGTCAAAAAATTAAACTTCAATGTTTTATTTTTTGATGTTATATGCAGATGACATGAATTTTTATCCGATTCTCTTGATAGGTTACAAAAAAAGGCTTGATGAGTTTTATACTCATATTGAAAATTATCTGTAAATGTAAGGACAGCTAAAATTAAAGTATTTAGAAAGACTTGTCGACGAAACCAAACTATTAAATGGTATTATAATGATGAGGAAGTTGAATGGTCAATCAGTTTACTTACCTTGGTTTCACACTTTTATATACGGGTAATTTGCTATAAATCTCAGATGAAGTTGGCTTCTCAGTTAAGGAAATGTATGTTTAAACTTTTGAAATTAATGAAAAATGTATATTTCCATTATGTTACTAAATTATCTTTGTCTGATACTCACGTAGAAAATGTGCGGATTCCACAGAAGTGATACTGTAGAAAAAATACTTTAAAATTTAGAATATCTTAATATTATGTTGAAAGTTAAGACAATTATATCTCGTTGTTCGTGATCTATAACGAACTTGGTCACTTAGCTCTTTTTATTCAAAGGAATATTTGCACTATAAAATTTTGGTTAAAATTATTGGATTCAGAGAATTATATGATAAAAGGTATTTACAAAGATATGCTTGAAAGGATTGATACATGTCCTTGTACAGAATATAATTGACTGCTTAATGTAAAATATTTACTATTTTCATTAGGGTTTGGAAAAGCTTGGTTTCGTCAAATATTATAAACAAAAATATGGGTTTTTTTTAAATTTTTAAACAAAGATTAACTGGTTGTTTTCAACAAGATTGTGATAGTTTTTTTTTCTTCATCATCAAAAAATTATTTATATAGATATATTACAAATGAGTCGGTGTGCAATCCTTTTAATGAAACCAATTCCAACCAAGTATATTCAACTGATTGCAAAATATAGATTAAGTGAACGTTTATTAATGATTGGGAAGGAAATATTTACTCATATTCCTAAGAGAATAGATAAATAGTTGTATTTTTGTCAACTGGATATTCAAGATGAGTATCATTTTATTTTCTTCGACACCAGAATACAGACTCGAATCTCTGATTATGGATATTGCTAATCGTAGGCTCTTTAAACCGTCAGGTTTCGCGGAAGAAAATACCGCTCAAACAACCCGTTTATTCCTTTAACTTCAATATACCAAAAGGAATTGACGCAGTTAATATAAGTAATATTCTTAATCACAAAAGGTCCGGCCGGTTTTATATTCCATATTTCAAGTCGAAGTCCACACCTTGTATTTCTTAAAAAAGCTTCCAGACTTTTTGATTATTAAAAAAACTCTACATTTCCCAGATATCGAGCATCTGAAACATAATACTCGAACGTGTTCATATTTTTCTTCACCCTACATCTATAGTTCTGCTGGACACGTCATTACTGGTGACGTAAATATAATTAATAATGAGGGCCTTAAATCACTTATTATGAGAGGGCTAAAGTTTTCATAGAAATGGATGATTTCATAGAAATGAATTTCAGGATATTTTTTCTACAAAAAAGTGACCTATTAATTTTTATGTTGCTAACTTTATTGTTGTAATATCCATTATCAAAAATTTAAAGGATCGATTTTAACTCTAAATGTTACCATATATATACATGGTTTCACATAAATGTATTTAGGATTTTTTTCCTATTTAAGTGTAAAAAAAAACTATTTTAAGTTAAAATTTTTGAATGACATCTAAAAACAAACGTCAACAATTATATCTACCAGTATTGCCAAGAATTATAACTTTTATTGCTGAAAATTGACTTCCTTATTGAATACCAGATTCATGCCAGATTTCAAAACTCACGTTTCCGTTCTAAATTCAACATTAGAAAACGAGATTGTAGATATCCTTATATCATCAGATTATTTGTCAGTAGCCCGTCTCGCTTGATTGATATCAAGCACTTTGTACCGTTTAATGTAAACTGGTGTTTCATGGAATTTGCAATGCATTTGATGTCAATAGTTCAGTAATGAAATCTTCAATTAATTCTCCAAGTATTTCATTCTTATTTTAAAATTTGTTTATGGTAAAATCTTCAACATCATTCAACATCAGAATGAATACCATTCGTGTTAATTTTTTAACAAATCAACATGTTAAAAACCCTCAAAAGTTTCATTTTTTATGACGTTTCCAGGGTTTAATTTTACTGTAATTCTTTGTAAATTAGTAAATGAAGATTACTGTATTGTCCTCAAATATTACTGTTGACAAATAATCTTTGCTCTTCTATAATTGTTGTAAATATGTATATATGTACCTCTTGTACCATTTATATGAGTTTTTTGAGAGAGAGAATAAATGAATGAATGAATATTGACAAAATATGCCAATATACTTTAAATGTTTTTGTTTTTTAAAAGGCAAGTGAATACATGAATAACTTCAGATATTTGACATTTAAACAAATTCTGTAATTTTTTTTTCTGAAAGAAATATATAAATATGTACATGTAACTATTAATTCGATATTTGCAGTGTTTGATAAATAGAGGATATTCAATGTTTTGTAGATGAATATGGAATTTATTTCACGAGTGGGACAGGATTTTTTGATATTTTCACGAGTGCGAAGCACGAGTGAAAATATCAAAAAATCCTGTCTCACTCGTGAAATAAATTCCATATTCATCTACAAAACATTGAATTTTCTGTTTATTACATTTTCTTTGATTTTCCCTTTGCCTCTGTCTTTTCTTAACACAGTGTCATAGGCTTTACGTCATAGTTGAGCGGTTGAGACGTCATAGCTTAGAAGTTGTGTGTCAGATTGAAAACATTACATAGCATGGATTTTAGCAACATATTTAGGAAGAAATTTGCAGTTTTAGCTCTATCAAGATGCTTAGTTACTATCTCTATCTTATGACAGGCCAGAAATTATTTTTTACTTTCTTTGATATCCTTTCACACTGTGAGAGAATATCATTTTTGGTATTCTTTCACACTGTGAGAGAATATCACTTTTATTCAATAAATAAATCACAGTATTTCACTGTTGAAAATGTAATAAAAACTAATATTTTTTTACATAACATATAAACATTTCTTAGAATTGATCTCAAACGAGAAGTTAACAGGCATTGCTTGAATTTTTGGTATCATTGTTAACTATCAAAGAGAGACAATTTTGTTAAATGTAATAAATTATGATGTTAAATTCTAATAATTCAATTTTCCTTACTACTGCATTTCTACGGAGATTTTTTTCCTGTTCATTTTCCGATGAATGTAATGTCAATTTTAGTAGCCGGACTATTTTTTCATTCTTCAATTAACGTCAGTTCTTGTCTTATCAATAATTTTTTACACGCGACTGTGTTATAAACTAATACTCTCTAAAACGTATGACAATGTTCTTTTCACGATTTAAATTCAGCTTCTGTAATTTTTTGTTTCTCTCCATTTGCTTTAAAGTAAATATTTTAATCATATGTTTCTATTTGTAAATTATACAATAAAAATTCTTGTTGAGTAGAAAATTTTTTTTTTCAAATAAATCATCAAGCGAGGTAATTGTTGTCAATGGGTAATGCTGGGGATGGCAAGGGATATAACTCTGTGAAGAAGCACGTGTTTTGCGTTTTTTATTTGTAAAGAAAGAATTTACATTGAATTTAGTACAGATTGAAAACCAAAGTAGAAAAAAAAATATTATGTAGGTTATGAAAATTAAATGATAAGAAGGACCTTAGACTAAGTTTTCTTGATGTGAGTGTTATTATCACATTCTCACGTATTTCGTCCGCACATCAACTTTATACAGGGTATTAACCATGTTAATTGTCAGTCAAGTTGTACGTGTATTAAGGTGTATCGACAAGTAAGTTCATTTCTTTCTTTCTTTTTTTTTTTTTACCTGAAGATATCTCTTTCTAATAATCCATTGCACTCCACTCGACGTGTTACCGTTGACCGTTTGCTTACTGACAACAAAGCAAGTTTCTGCCTGCTTTATGTGTAATCGCTTTTAAAAATTGCACTTGTAGATTTTCATAACTTACGTCATCGATAACTTAGAAAATCAATATAAAGACAATAAAACATAACGGGGAATTCTTTATTTTTTATAACATTCAAAAGAAATTATACCCGCCTTGTGTACTACAGGCTTTTAGATCCGCTCCCAAGAATCGTGTAATTTTCCAATCGATATATTTCTACGCAGCTGTCGGCGTGTAAATTTCGTTCACAATTTTTTGAGTTAGCTAAATAATGAGTATGTACATGAAAGGTAACATGTTTTTCGCTGAAATTGAATTATAAGCATTGACTATATAAATTATTTTGTTCATCGAGAAATGAATCTAAAAAACGAATCGCACACTTTAATCGCACGCTTTCATAAAGTGTGCGATTCGTTTTTTAGATTCATTTCTCAATGAACAAAATAATTTATATAGTCAATCCTATACTGTTTGCACCCAAACATTTTTTCACGGAATGTATCTGACGTAAAATTTGAAGAAAAAAAAGGTTCGTATGTCTATAAACGTACCAATCTAAAGCAATCAACAAAGGTCTATTTTTGATTGAGTGTGGTGATTTTTTCTGTAAATGTCAGGCACCAATGTACGAAAAGAAAACAACTATTAAACCAGTTTATTTTATTTTACGAGCATCCCCTATCTAATACTGATGATTGAAACAGGTGATTGTATCAGTAACCCCTAAAGATACCTAAAAATCGCTATATAGCTTATCGTCATCAAAGTCCATTTCCGGAAATCCGTGACTGTAGAAGAGAACATGAAATCTTTTACATTTTGGAACCATATTAAGTGTACTGAAAAGTATTAAAATAAAACATTGGCGTAGATCTCAGGAATCAATAATTGAAAATTATATGTGAGAGGAATGGTTGTATTATTTAAAAAAATGGGCCGGACCAAAACCCGGCTCGTAGATTACTGCAGCGTCATTGATGAAGATAAGCAAGGTGAAAAAAACTTGAACTACTGTTGGTTTATTTAAAGGTGACTTTCACTGTACATATATATTGACTACAGCCATCGAAGATATTTTATTGAATTTACACATTGTGGGAGTTTTTACTGTATATATAAATGTTGTATTAATATAGTACCCATGCATATTGATGAATACGAGGCATTATTGAGCACTATTGTGAAACATTTGGAAATAAGACTGCAAGTGCTTGCTGCAGATTGGAATTTGTTTTAAAAAGGCTGAGGTACTAGAGAATTGTGATGCGTTTATTTAGATTCATACTTACAACATACTTTTTGGTGGTTTTCCTATCGTCAACATGTGCAAAAAATAGAGGTAAATTCAAAAGTAAAAAAAATACATGGCGATTAAGGCTTCTGCGTAAGCTCTATGGAGAGTTAAATCCTAATGTTAAACTTTTGAAGTTAAGTGACAGGCACCAAAATCTCTATTTACCTGAAGATTCCAAAGGTCGGATAAACGTGGAAGATCCTGTCCGGAAACACATACCTGTGATACGTAAGTACAGTAAACCTTGTACAAGTGTGTCCCATTTGGGGATACAAAGCAAACTACGTGTATAATGCACGTACCCTTAAAACGAAAACATATGTGATTAAAATGATATATAAATAAAAAATGATATATATCAACTGAAACAACACCAGTTTCTTTAAGAACCAATCTTTCTAAAAATTCAATAGTATTTTTGTTTAAAAAGAATTATAAGTGGAGAAATATCGCGAAAAATATGTTTACCTTTGCATAACTATGAATGAAAAGTACACGTTTAATGCAATCATCACGAAATGCTATAACCATTCACATCAATGTGACTTTAAATTAGAAGCTTTCAATTTCTATATCAATTGCATACACGTCATCATCTAACTTTAAGGAAAGAAAATGTCAGAGATTTGATGTTTCCGGAATAATACAATTCTTACATGTTCACTTCATGCTTTTGCAGCAAAGTAACTTCAATAGTCCAGGTGGGCCGCTAATGGTCTTTTTTCATTACACTATTTGTTTTGTCTCAGTTCGAGTTGTAAATGATTGCTTCCAATTAACCACTTTATAACAAATTTCATTGCAATAGTCTACGCTCATAAAGTTCAAGGCATCGATTTGTAACTGGAATGTTAGTGTATGCACCATACAATTAAATGATGAAAAACTACGAATGAGGAAATCTCAATGTTTTACTGTTTACACTTTTTGAGCACAGGGGGCTTTTAAAAAACAATAAAAATTATCACGGAAGTGGGGATTATTGGGAGAATAAAGAATTACGGCAAGCGTCCTGTTTAAATGGTAGCATATGCATTGGACGTTTCGTCCATTCATTACACCCAGTATATGATATTTTAGAATAAAGAATCTCTTAGTGTCTTTTATTTCGGAAAATTATGACTCTGCAAGTTTCTGATGAAATCTTACAAGATGAAAGCTATCACAAATCGAATGCTGCAATAACAATTATGATTGTTGAGTTAATTTTTTTTTTTTTGAATTCAATTTAATTCATTCAAAATTAATAGCATCCTGAATTAATTCATAATTGCATCCTGAATGTGTATACACAATATTGCAGAACATTTTCAGAACCTATTCTGGTTCTTTCAGTAAATTTCGCCTACATGTAATATACCGAATAATGTCATATGTGGTCATGCCATGTCTTTCAATAATATTTTTTTTTATGAAATCCCTTTTTACTAAAATGTTTGTACAATGTGTTTTCGATATACGCATAAAAAGTAATTGGACCTGACTTAAAGACCGTTAAGTTATATCTCGTCATAAAAAAATGTTTAAAATCACGTACTCTTCAAAATTTTACCATGATCTTTTTCTCCAAAAATAACATAAAGCTGTTTAATGTATCTTCAAAACTTAGAAATCTCTGTTTAATGAAGAAGAAAGTTTGTCGACATTTTAAATTAATAAAAGTCAACAATACATGAACTCTTCTATCAACATTCAATATATCAGATTCCATTCTTAATGTAGTTACGGTAAAGTTCCATGGAGGAAAACTAAATCTCATAAATGTGTTGTTAAAGAGATAATGTTTGAATATGTTCCTTCAAAACATAGTATGGGTCTATAAAAGATTCCACTTCATGAAAAATGATATAGGGCCTATGTGCTATGAATGTTCAGTTGTACTGTGTATTATGTATACCAATGAACAGGACTGGACACTTCAACATGCATTTTGTTGTTTGTCGTATCCAAATGAGGACTGAAGCTTTCTAATGCTTAACGTCCGATGTTTGAGTTATAACTATATTGTGCTTAATGTTTTATTCGTTTTGCAAAATTAGAATTGCAGTGTCCTCCTCACCAAATGAGTTCTTTGATATGTACAAATTATTCCTTTCAATTTTGGAACGAGGGATTTGCATTTGGGACATAAATCGATAAATTCAATCCAACACTTATGTTTTGTGGGGGAGTGCCATTGATATTAAATTCAGATATTAACACAACATGAAATCGACGAGCTTCTCAAGTATGTAAATATTAAAGTTATTATAGAAATGTTAGAATCGAGTGGTGACTGCGGTATCAATAGAAATGCTTTCAACAATATTTAGACAAAGTGACACACCATTTAGATTTTGAGGTTTAAACTTTTTAAAAAGAGTTTTTTAATGAATGAATCCATTGTATTTTGGAGGATCTTCCATTAATTTGCTACATTGTATTTCGATTACCCTTTTTTCTACGAAAAGGTCCCAGGATGTCATAGATATATGCTTTGAAACGATGTTCTCCTCTCCCATAGTATCGACAATTCGACATTCGAATGTTTGTTTCATGATGATTATAACTGAACTTGGACAGGGTTCTGAATGTTTTGCAATGAAAAGTTATATAACCATTGTTAGAATAATCATTATTTAGCTTCCCTTGCTGCATCTATTTTTACTTTGAGTTTGACAACCGATTTAACTGTTTTATGCATATTCTATTCTTCCGATTTTGAAAAAAATCGTAAAAACTAACGGAATAAAAATACTGTGCATTATTTTTATACTAACTCTCGAATATGTTATTCGAAAAAGAAAAATAGAATACACACGTATTCGTATATTTTTTTTAGCAGTAATAGATAAGTCCTCCTAAAAGGGCAAAACAGTGTACTATTTTAATCAAGCAAGCGCATGAGCTAAAATAATTTGAAATAGTTTCCTACATGTCTGAAGTGCAAGTAGCAGTGTATGAACTATATTTTTGTGTGTTCGTCCTGAAACAAGAAAGTTCAATTATAAACAATTTAAGTGGTTTCAATGAGAGCACAAGCTTGATATATCTTTTGTAGAAATCTATAGAGACAAAGGAAGCGAGATAAATAATCACCTCAGTGAAAATGGCAAAAACTCTTATTGATTATAACATATTACACAAATCATTTTTTTTTTCATTATACTCTTTCACTTGCATTGAACGAATTATCTATTCCCCATCTGCGGAATCTGTGATTGGAAAAGGGATTAACTCGGATTATATATACCGTTACTAAAGTTTTCACATCATAGTGAAAATAACATTAGGATTTCCGAATGTATAAAAATGATATGGTATTTAATTTGTAATTTTATATTAAATATATCCAATAGCTTACACCTTGCCTTTTAAGCCTTAATAATGGATTAATCACTCGTCTTAATATAAACACTTCATTCTTTGAAATGACAAGGTACCCCAAAATAAAAAGTACATTTAAGCCTTCTCTGTTTCCTATATCCATTAGAACATTACGTACAACCTTTAAAAAAGCAACTCAAAATCATTTACGAAAGAAGAAATAATTTGAATACCAAGTGATAGGAAACTAATTACATAATACTGCAGGTGGCGATAAGTAAAAGGGCATGGCTTCAATAACGTAAAACGGGAATGTCCGTGTCAGGAAATATAAAAAAAAAAAACCTCGACAAACGCACCTGTTAAACCTTAGCTTTCCTTGTTAAATAATGATGATAACATTGCTACCTGATCTCAGATATTATACAAATATTTGCTTATGAAAAGCCATTTAATTATTACACTACAATAAGGTGTAATGATCTCTTTCTCGTGTTTTACTGCTGTCTTTGATTTATAGAACAATTTATTTTACGAAATACCAAATTATTACATGTAATATGCCTATGGTAATGTCCTTTGTTAAGTATATGACAATGAAATACTTCATATATATAATTATCCAATAAAGCACATTGGTTTTTCATAAACCATGAGTAATATTCCACCATATTTTATTTCATCATTTTATAAAAAAGCTTTCTATATAACATCGATATATTATATTTACATGTAGTACTCATTAAATCAAAAGTGCATTTTTCGCCTATTTATAAACTTTTTAAAAGTGTGGCGTTGCGATTCGCTCATATTTGCCAACCCTCAAACATTCCATCTCAGACGTCTAGCATAAAAAATACAAATAGCTATAGCTGATTTCATAAACATAACAATTGGATAAGTAAGCTGTGTACCCCCTCCCCTCCCCCCGGGCCAATCATGATTCATACTATAAGTCATCAAATGTAGATGATTTATCTTTTACATTGGCTTAGCCATTGACAGATAGTCTGAAACCCATTTCAACTTTAATAATTTTCAAAATTCTTTTGAATTTTTAAGTTTGGACATTAGTAATTTAAATATGATAGATAAATATTATCAGACGGTATGAAATATACAGCTTATTCTCTGAAATAAGCAAGAAGAACATGACCAACAATATTGGTGATATTAATTTTAAGTTTCCATAAAAAGAATGAAAACACCAACGCTCCTTGGATATGTCCAGACATAGACTAGAGGACTATATATCACAGTAAAACTAATATCCCCAGTCATTAAATCAGAAAGATTTCTTTGAAAGTAAATCTATGCTAAAGAAACAGTAAGTTTAATTTCAATTAGTGTTTAATTTTCTCTTTTAAGATGGAAAGTATCTAGACTACCATTGATTTAACGACTTAAATTGAAAATAAATATTAATACTCGTTAAACTTTCTCAAACTTCTTTGACGAAGAAAATAATTCAATGCCTAATAGTACATATTCATTTGCAGAATGTGAAGAAAATAGTTCAGATTTGATAGCATGCCCTTCTCCCAACTCGAAAGGCGTCTTTTATTGTATCAGTGAGGAGTTATTGTGCGATAAAGTAATGAACTGTCCTAATGGTGAAGACGAAGACTTAGTGTCGTGTATGTTCCATAAATGGGTACGTTATGCTTTTCATTTCTTTGCTTAAGCTTTAAAAGGGAAATGAAATTCTCTGAGTATCAGAAATTTTGGATAAAACATTCAATTTTACATGTACCATTCCTGAATGATATTAAGTTGCATTTTTCTTTGTACAATAAGAATTCAAAAAGTAAAATATTCTTTTCGCTTAAGTTATCTGCAAATGATTACATGAAAGATTTTTTTTCTTTTTCAGGCGAACACGTTCTTCACTTCTTTGTCACATTCTTTAGCGGATATGAAAGCGCGTGTAATGAACTTGGAAGAGTCGATAGGGAAATGACAAATTTACAATAATCGAAAAAACGAAATTTTAGTCTCAAGAAGAAACGTGTGAGATTATGCAGACATCCATGCAAGAAATCGAGGGGAATATCAGAACTATGACTGTCTACCTTTCATATGTTCTATAGTTATGTTTGATGGTGCTTCACTCATTGGCTTAAATTTATCGTTTGTAGAAAGTAAAATGAAGAAAGAATTTCTGTAATTCATGCTGAGTATTTTATCTTTGAGAGGCATGTTAGAAAGCATATTTTTACATTTCAAATATACAGTCATGTAACTTTTTTGTTGTATATATTTATTTGTTTTTCAAAAAATTTATTCTTGGCCTGAAAAATAAAATATTCAATCAAATTCAATCACCCCAGGGTCATATTTCCTCGAAGTATATATGAAGATTTTATGCATCCAATAATCTAGTTATGAGGGTTTATTTACTATATGTATTTATTAGGGATGTCAAATCGGTCAATATTTGATAATCGGTTACTCGGACGATTTTCCGATCGAGTACCCGGGTACTCGGAAAAAGTGTGTATACATGTAAAAGTTTATTGATCTTACCAAGACTTGTTTACCCCATCGATGTTTACTTTCGTTTATAATGCATGTACATAAACATCGAGCCCAACGAAAATGAATTTTTGGGTACTTGATTTATGTATCAAACACGAAAGACATGTATTGATCAATTAATACACCAATAATTACAAAATTAATTCTTTACAGTTTTCCCTTTTGAATTGGTAGCGGTATTTCTATTTATGTCCGATTTCTAATTTCTAATTCGATTTCTAATAACTTATGCCCGATGCTAATGAAATAATCTGTATAAGGATAATGAATAGATCATATTTAAACGATGTTCATTGAAAACAAATAATCGAAGCCATCCAAAAATTAGGGTCGCAAGAGATGAGAACAGCTGTGTACGGTGTCCAGTGATTGGTCACGGTAATTACTGTGTGTACATGTACACAGCCACAGGCGATAACGGGTATTAACTCGGCGTAGGTAACGCTAATTACTTTATAGACAGGGACAATGCATAAGATTTAAATCAATTTTTTGATAAGTTTTTAATAAATATATGAACTTTGTTGAAATATGAAAAAAATATACATCCGAGTAACCGAGTAGCGATTTTAGTATTCGATACTCGGGCGTTCGATCGAGTACCCGGTTAACCGGGTACTCGTTGACAACCCTAGTATTTATCAGTACACGCAGTTTCAATGCCATGGAAATTATCAATCTTGTATGTTTGTCTATAGAAAAGCAGACACAGCATTAATGTTTATTCATGTCAGGAAAGAAAAATGATGAATTGGAAACAATTTTCACCGAGGTAAAGAGTTATCCCTGATTCTCTTTCACTACTGAATTTTTTTAACCTGTTGGTAATACAATGTGTTTTTCACTTAAGTCCCATTAGGACTTGAGGTAGGTGAGGAAATCCTTGGACATACCTTAACTACGATAAGTTTTTTGATTTTATCTAGAATTTGTTCAATGTGTATTCAAATATATTAAATGTCAACTGTCGGATTATATTTTCATGACGAAAGAACAAACGGTGATGCTACATGTACGTAGCAGGGATTGGTGTTAAATATCCAGTAATATTCCAAGTAATCAAACACGATCTATAGTATCACCAAACATTTTTTTTCGAAGAAAGATGGTCATGAATAATTCTTTCAATGAATATTGCGAAGGTTTATCCATTATAACAGTTTATATAAAGTATTCAAATTATTTTACATATTTTTAACTTCCATTGGGAAAAATATTACCAAAAGGCATGACATAAAGATTCAGGTGACCAGTTACCCTGTTGATCATGGATTACAAAGTACCTACAGTAAGCAGATATACCAGGCAAAGCATAGATGTATTTCAATCGTATCTTCCCGGGACTTTCCGGCAAGCTCGGAAAACACCTTGGATATATTTACATCATCGGATATTGAAATGTTAAATAAAATGGAATCCCTTTAAATTTATCAAAGTATTGGGAAGACAGAGTCGAATGTCCCTTCTGTCGTGTAAATTAGGAAACATCTATACACTAGAAAAAGACTTTAATTGTAAGCTAACAACAAAAATTTATTATAAACCTGATGACTTCAACTTTTCTATCGTCAATTTCCCTTCCTTATGTAGCAATACACCCTTATCCCTTGCATATGGGGTTTATTCGATACCAAGAGCATGCTCTACGTACGCACAATTTCTTAAACGGGGCAAGCTATTGACAATCAAGTTGATGAAACAAGAATACAACAGTCTCGTTTGAAATCACCATTTCGGAAGTTTTACAAGGGAATGAATGGGAAAATTCTTTTAAATCTTTTCAAGAAAAGTAGACATTTATTAGTCATATGGACACCAGAACATATAATAAGAATTTAACGAACAGTATTCAATCTCGAACGTCCAATGAAACGATACAAATTTGGAGCAGAGCAAATACGGACCTCAAAATCTAGAGGTGGGATCAAGCGCCATAGAGGAGTGAGCATCCCCTGCCGACCGGTCACACCCGCCTTGTGCTCCTTGTCATGATCGGGGAAAAAAACCGGAAAAATCCGTAGGCAGTTCAGTGTATAAGTAATGATCTAACAATTAGTATGAAAAACATCAGTCGGCATTTGACTTAATGATAGGTTGTATATGCTGACAAGGTCATTGTATATCGACCGTAAAACTTGCGAAATGATGACTTCAAACAAGACTGTTGATATCCTTGTTTCATCAACTTGTTTGTCAATAGCTTGCCTCGTTTTAGAAATTGTTCATACGTAGAGCATGCTCTTGCGCATTGAATCAACTGAGAGACATAAACCCCATATGCAGGTGATAAGGGTATATTGCTACATAAGTAAGGGAAGTTGACAATGGAAAAGTTGAAGTCATAAAGCTTTGTTGTTAAGTTACCATTGAAGTCTTTTTCTAGTAAAATATCTAGATATGTAACAGATGTGTATGACTATATGGTATCTTTTTTTTCAAGCTCACTGGGATGTATCAAGTCGACATATCAATGGAAGATACTATTGTTAATTGATAATACATGGTCGATATATCGAAATGTCGAGTCGAAGGCCACAGCAAGTGTTTTCTTTTTCTCATGTAGAAGTTTTTTTTTAAATAAATTCTGCTTCATAGGAATACAAAAAAAAAAAAAAAAAAAAAAACAAAAAAAAAAAAAAACAAACAAACAAACAAAAAACAAAAATAGGTCTGCTAATAATGGGGCGCAGTTGGTACCCATGGGAATTCCAACAGATTGTTGGAAAACCTGATCTCCAAAAACTACATAGATATTGTCAATCAGAAACTCAAGCATCTTTTTAATATCAACTTCAGAGTACTTGTGCGTACAATCAGAATGCTTTTAAAAAAATAATTTTGCATCCTTAGGTAGTGCAGATTTCATTTTTTTTCCCCCAAATTGTTGGCCCTCTAGGGTAGTGTGGGATAAAAATTTTGATTGAAATTTTACACGGGAATATGTAGAGAAAAATCATTTCAAGAAAAGCAGAACCACAATTTAAATCATATCGATATGCAAGCATTCACACGTAATGCAGATTCAAATTCTTCAAATCATGTAAAGGCTCAGTAAAGAATCAAATACATGTATTCATGTTGAATACGTAAAAAAAGACATTTTATATAGAAATTTAAAAACAAGAGGCCCATGGGCCAGATCGTTCACCCGAGTAACTTTGGCCATGCTGTTCTTTATAAGATTTCCCCCTTGTAATACATATTGTGGCCTCGCCATACCCCACGTGGTCATGATTTGAACAATTTAGAATCAAAACTACCCCAGGATGCTTCCACATACGTTTCAGCTTTTCTGGCCCAGTGGTTTTGGAGAAGAAGATTTTTAAAGATTTTTCCTATATATTTCAATGTAAAACTTGGATTCCCTATTGTGGCCCCGCCCTACCCCCGGGGGTCCTGATTTGAACAATTTAGAATTGACACTACTCCAGGATGCTTCCACATAAATTTCAATTTTCTGGCCCAGTGGTTTTGGAGAAGAAGATTTTTAAAGATTTTTCCTATATATTTCAATGTAAAACATGGATTCCCTATTGTGCCCCCCAAACCCTACCCCCAGGGGTCCTTATTTGAACAATTTAGAATCAAAACTACCCCAGGATGCTTCCACATAAGTTTCAGCTTTTCTGGCCCAGTGGTTCTTGAGGAGAAGATTTTTGAAGATTTTTCCTATATATTTCAATGTAAAACTTGGATTCCCTATTGTGGCCCGGCCAACCTCTGGGGGTTCTGATTTGAACAATTTCGAATCTGCACTACCCCAGGATGCTTCCACATAAGTTTCAGCTTTTCTTGCCCAGTGTTTTTGAGAAAAAGATTTTTAAAGATTTTTCCTATGTATTTCAATGTAAAACTTGGATTCCCTATTGTGGCCCCGCTCTACCCCTGGAGGTCATGATTTGAACAATTTAGAATATACACTACTTCAGGATGCTTCCACAAAAGTTTAAGCTTTTCTGGCCCAGTGGTTTTGGAGAAGATTTTTTAATGACACCATCCTATTTTTGTCTTTTCTTGATTATCCCCCCTTGTAAGGGGACTTGGCCCTTCATTTTAAGAATTTAACTCCCCTTTACCTAAGGATACTTTGTACCAAGTTTGGTTAAAATTGACCAGTGGTTCTTGAGAAGAAGTTGAAAATGTGAAATTTTTACAGACGGACGAACGGACGGACAGCTACACAGACAGACTGACGGACGGACGACAGACAACGGGTGATCAGAAAGGCTCACTTGAGCTTTCAGCTCAGGTGAGCTAAAAAATAGAAAGAAAGGTGAAACTAACTCATATTGATTGCAATCATTCCACCCTCTCTTGGAACCAGATGTATTCAAATATGGGCACTAGTGTTAAGGAAAAGCTAAAATCGGAGATTTGTTTTCATAATACATGTTTATAGGGAAAAAATCTGTTTTAAAAATCTTCTCCAGAAAAGCAAGGCTACAGTGTCATTTGATATTCAAAATCCTCATGAAGTGTGGGTTCAAATTTCGTTAAGTCAAGACCTCTTTGAGCTAGGGTCAACAAGGACTCAACATTTTTCATGGAGAATATACAGGAAAAAATATTTAAAAAAAAAAAAAAAAAAAAAAAAAAAAAAAAAACGGGGCAAAGATGATGCAGATAAGCAATGTGGCCTTAGGCCTTTTATTTTCTGCATATTTTATCATGACGCACTCTTATATGAACATTATTTCGTTTTTACTTTAT